TCTCTCTCTCTCTCTCTGTGTGTGTATTTCTCTGTATGTACATATATCTCCAAATGTCAAGATTGGCCAAAACCGGACAGAAGAGAAAGTTAGGCGAAGAGTGTGATGCAACGGCGGATTACTTTCTACTACTGGGGGCCAAAGAAGAGAAGACGACTGAGATGGACCGGAACAAGGGTCAGATAGTAGAAAAGCAGCGAGAACATATAGACAGGCTAACAGATGAGGTACATAAGCAGAAACAATTGGCGAGACAGATGTCAGACGAACTAGACCGTATTAAGTCACTGCTCGTAGAAATGACAGAAACTGCGGAACACATGATGTTCATTCTTTTCTGGTTGTTGCTAGACGATCCAAAGTGTTTAGACATAAGTCCTCTGAGGGAGGATATAACTGTCAGACTTAAGGCAATAGCTGAAACGAAGACCACCACATTTGACGAGTTCCATACATGGTTGGATCGTGAAAGACGCAGGCGCACTGCGGTCTTGAATCGGTTCGCCGCCCACGTCACAAAGAGAACTCACAGGGAATCACAAGGACTTGATGTCGCATCTTGTGGCAACCCTGAGAAGTGTGTGTTGAAGGAGGGGTGGGCATCGTATGATAACCAAGAATATAATACGGGTTCGCTAACTGCTTCGTCACGCAGTGTCGTCGACCTCTTAGCCTTCGCAGCAGACTGTATTCGCCACTGTAAGGAAACCCTAGACGAGTAGGTCTCTGTGATGAGGGTGTCGCGATTGGTAAGGATGACCTTCCTTGTTATATGATGTCTCTGTTGAACGGTTGCTCGGACGTCATTGATCCCCTACATCACACACGAGGTAGGTTGTTGGATGGAGAAATGATGGTGACTTGTGCGAACGAAGTTGTCATGGGAAGTGCAGAAGGTGAAAGGACGAAGGCAGGTGAAGAAATCGACACAACAGTGCAAACCTCCACAGGAATTGAGACCACTGTCGGGGAATGCTCGCCTGCGCCGCATGCCCTGTTGGCGTGCACCGATGTTGCCATACTGAATTGTCACCACGTTCGTCACAACTTCCCATGTGTCGTCACTAGGAAAGCACCTTGTGTTGATGCAGAATCTGTTGCGCTGCCTATGACGACGGACACATTTCAAAAGTTCGTTGCAAAAGCGAATTCGCGACAAATGGCGAGGCTGGTTGCGGACTGTCAGTTCCATCTCATATCGTACATCAAAGAGATAATGGTACACGTCGTAATGAACGCAAGCCAGCATGGAGGGAATAACGAATGTCAGCATTGCAGGAAAGGACTTCACATCAACGACCGCTTAAGAACTCTCTACACAAGATGTCAAATTGTGGTTGCGCGGGTGGTCAGGGACGCGCAATCTCTCTCTCTCTCTCTCTCTCTCTCTCTCTCTCTCTCTCTCTC